CCCGACTCGATCGCCTCAAAAACAAACGTGTTTGTTTTCAGTTTCAGGCGATCGAGTCGGGCGATCGGCCCGATCCAGCCGTAGCGGCCACCCCGTATAACACACTTACGACAGTGGTGGAGCACCTGGGGGGTAAGGAAATTGGTTTGGTTTGTTTTGGGTTTGGTTTGTTTTGGGTTGGTTTTGTAGGGGTTGTGTTCCTAAAGTAAGTAACACAACTAAACAAGTGTCATAACGGCATCCCGATCAACCAAATTGCAATAACTTTGCGTGCGTCGTTAAAGAGATCTAGTGGCACGTAGCTTAGGGAATTGCACTAATTAAACAAAACAATTAAACACAATAATTAAACATAATAACATACATCGTTTAAGAGATCAATGGCCGATGGCGTGGAGAATTGCACTAATTAAACATACGAAGTGGCTAGCCGTACTTAGATCCAGGTTTGGCCCTATCGACTCAAGCCTGTTGAGTACACAGGTCTCATTAGATCTAGTCATTATGCAGGTCTAAAATACATGCAAGTCAGTAAGGCACCTTTTGGTTTTGTCTGAAATACAAATACTTTAGGCATTGAAAACTAAAAATTTCATTTACAATTCAGCCATCAATATTAAGTACGGCTAGCCTGACAGTCTAGCCGTCATTAAGTACGGCTAGCCTCTTCCTCATGTTTAAACATAATAATATATATCATTTAAGAGATCAAAGGCAGGTAGCCTAGAGAATTGCACGAACTGTTTTATTTTTAGTAAGGTTTTTACGGCGCTCGCAACTGCATAAGGTCATATGAGCGCCAAGGGGTGGATGTCAACAGAGAAGTCCAAATTGCACTAATTAAACATAATAACATACATCGTTTAAGAGACCAATGGCAGGTAGCTTAGAGAATTGTACGGATTGTTTTGTTTTTGTAAGGTTTTTCGGCGGGCTCGCAACTGCATAAGGTCATAATATGAGATATGAGATATGAGCGCCAAGGGGTGGATGCCAACAAAGAAGTCCAAATTGCACTAACCATTATTTCGGCACTAAATGTCTATTATCATATCGATGTGGTTCTTTCATTTTCCCTCAGAGTGATTGAAATTGCTAGATTTAGCCAAGTGGCTGACAATCTTGCTCTCGGCAAGGAGCTCAAGTGGCGGAGTAGTGTGTGCCGCCCGCACACAAATACATGTAGTTTCGAGCAACGTTGATGACACGGCACTGAGGCGGGTGGTCACTGGGGTATGTCCTAGGGCAACACACGGTAACCTTCCCTTCAACACCCCAT